GTCAAAGGTTAGCCCCGGACAGCTTCCTGTTTTGTCAGCCGCGGCCCAGGGGTGCAGGTCACAGCACCTGTTCAGGGCTGACCTTTGAGCAGGACAGGTGGGGCCGCTGTCAGGGGCTGGAGCTGCGATGGAGCCGCCCTCGTCTCGCCGAGGAGCAGGCGCGTCGCGTGTCCGCGTAGGGAAGTGCAGGCGTGAGCGTGAGCCGCGCACGGAGCGGAGCCTGACGGCTGGGAAACGTAGGCAGGGCTGGAGGTCGCACGGGCTGAGTCACATGCCCCCAGGGGAGCAGGGCTCCTTCCTCGCCATGGCCGGCGTACCTGTGGCGAGAAGCCAGGAGAAGCCCAGGTGTCTGGGAGAAGCTGTGGTCTCAGCCCCGGTGCGCGCGGGTCTACGGAGGGGCGTCGTGGCTCCGCCCGCTGAGGGGAGGCTGAGACCCGAGGCTGGGTCCCCCCGCTGTGCTGGGAGAGCCCGGGGCCTGGAGGGCACCCCGCACCGGCCAGCCGCCCGAGGGTCCCCACGGGGGGCGCGCTGAGATCCGTTCAGTCGCGCGTGAACGTCCCCGCTGGACCCTAAAGATGACGAAGGTGTTGGTGTGAAATCACCGGGGCCAGTACAGACGTCTTGGCCATGCTCACACCTGTGTAAATTAAGCTGGCGCGAAACTACCCCAGAGACGTGAGCGTGACGCGTGGAGGGACCCGGGGTGTATGAGTGACCTGTCTCCTCAAGCTTTTTTCACTTTCATTATGTTGCTTTGATAGTGAAAAAGCCAGGGAGTCATCTAGGACACGCGACCACAAAGGTGGTTTGGTGGAGGGGTCAGCGTGTTTTCAGGATGGGGGATACCCCCATTTTCCACAGCCTTCTGCTGGGGCTGAGGCTCCCGTCCCTGCCCACCGCAGGGTGACCCAGACTGTGGGCTCTGGGGGGTCGGTGTGGGGAGCCCAGCTCAGGACGATGGTCAGGTGGCCCCACCCACTGGGTCTGTGGGTCCCCGGGGGGTGTCGGGGCAGCTGTGTGCTCTGGGGGCCTCCCAGAGCAAGGGCCAGGCCTCCTGCAGCTGCTCGTCAGCTGGGCAAAATCCACTGAACATCCCGGAGCTGGACGGGAGGTGGGGCTCCCTGGGTGTCCTGCAGCCGGCTGGGAGCCTGGCTGCTGCCCCGCGCCCCCCGGGAGGGTCAGGCCAGCCCTGGGGCCTCTGGGGTCTCTCAGTGAAGTGGGAGCTCAGGACGGTGTAGAGGGGCCTGTGAGGTGGCGTGAAGCAGCCGAGAGCCCCGTAAACACCCCCTATCCCACCCCACCCAGCGTCTCAGGCTTCTCCCCGGGCTCCCTCAGACCTGCTGCAGGGGGCTGGGCTGGTCGTGGATTCTGGTCTCCTCCTGTGGTGTCCACGGCAAGGTCAGCACCCCAGAGTGACCGCCCTCTCCTCTCTCTGTCTCAGGGCACAGCGTGGATCCTGGCCTGGCCGGTCTGCAGGGGCGACGGGCCCCGCGCTCCAAACAGCCTTTCATGGTCACTTTTTTCAGGGCGAGCCCCAGTCCCGTGCGGGCCCCTCGGGCTGTGAGGCCCCTGAAGAGGAGGCTGCCGAAAAAAACCAACGAGCTGCCGCACCCCAACAAACTCCCAGGCATCTTTGGTGAGGGCCAGGGCCGGCTCCCCAGTCCCGTTCCAGACGCCCCTCCTGATGCCTCCTGCGCCGGTCACCAGCCCCTGCACACTCAGGCCTTGGGCGTCTGCCCTCCCCCGGCCCCAGGCTCCCCAGAAGTCTCCTGGGAATCAGGCGCCCCGGGAGCACAGCCCAGGTGGTCTGCCCTGGAGCCTGCAGAAGCCTCAGTGTGCGCACCTGCACCTGTGGGGTGGGGAAGGCCGGGAGGTGGGGAGAGCCGGCGCCACCCATACCCTAGGGTCTCCCCGGTCCGAGTGCGCCCTGAGCTGTCGATGGGCGTTGGGGGACCTTCGGTCTGGAAGCCGGGGGAGGCGGCGCTGGATGCAGGGGTGCTTCAGAGGCCCTGAGAGCTGCGGGGAGCCTGGAGGTTTCTTGAGCGGGGTCGGCGTCAGCAGTGCAGGGAGGAGACCCACTGGCTTCACTTCCGCCCTTCACGGGCTCAGCAAGGCCCACGGTGTCCTGCCCTGGCCCCAGCCCCCCATGGCTGCGCACAGCAGGAGCCCAGATGACCGCTGCCCCTTTCCCCTGCAGACGGCGTGCACGGCGCCAGCGCCGACCTGCGGCAGGTGTGCCGGCGGCACGAGCTCTACGTCAGCTTCCGGGACCTCGGCTGGCTGGTAAGTTCTGTCTCCTGCTCCCCGAAATGGCCGCACCCACCAAGGGCCGGGCGTCTCCAGGTGGAGCGAGGATCATGGGGGCGCATGCCTGGAATCTTCTGCATTTCCCCTGCATCAGTTTTCTAGAGAGAGGGTGCGTTCTCGCACGGTGGGAAAGTGCAAGTTTTATAAAAGTCATGACATGGAACACTCACTCCCTGACCGGTTGGGCAGTGGCCTGGACATTCACTGTGGCCACAGCTGCAGGCCCTGTGGACGGAGGCGGGGAGGGGACAGGCCAGGCCTGATGGTGGCGGCAGGCACAGCACCGCCTGGCCCTGACTGTGGGGGCCACGGGGGAGGTCACGCCTGGAGGGCGGCCACTTGAGAGTGCTGACACGGCCGTGGCCACGAGCTGGGCCCTGAAGTGGACTGGGGGAGGGAGGGGCCCGGCCGGGACTCACCTCCTTCCCTCTCCCTCCAGGACTGGGTCATTGCCCCCCAGGGCTACTCGGCCTACTACTGCGAGGGGGAGTGCTCCTTCCCGCTGGACTCCTGCATGAACGCCACCAACCACGCCATCCTGCAGTCCCTGGTCAGTACCGCGTGTCAGTCTGGGAGGGTCACCGAGGAGGGGCCTCCTGCGCCCCCGGCAAACGGGGGTGCCGCCTGCGACCAGGGTGTTTTCTCTGACGGGCTCCTCCTGGGTAGAAACCTCTGCCCTGGGCAGGCAGGCCCGGGGGCCCGAGCATGGACACCACCGGTCACACCCTGGGGCGCTGCCTGCCCACCTGAGCATTCACGCAGGGCCAGGGTCAGGCTCTGCAGGCCAGGTGCGCAGGCAGGAGGGCAGCACCCATCACAGCCCCACCCGGGTCCCACCCAGCTGCCCCTGCTGGTGGGGAGTCAGCAGCCGAGGGCCGGGCGCGTGGAGCAGGCCTCCCGCTGCCTCCTCATGGGCTCGCGCTGCCCGGCCCTCCGCGTGGCGCCCTGGTGAGGGTCTGTCTACACCGCAGCTCCCTGCCGAGGCGCAGGCCAGTGTTCTGGAGGCCGGAATAGCCCGTGCTCTCCTCAGGCCCCTGGTAGGTGGCAACGCTGTTTTGGAGAAGGGACAGGCCCTGCACAGGTCCAGTCCGTCACCCCACAGCCAGCCAGGCCGCCCTGGCACGTCACGTGGCCTGGGCCCCCAGGTCCTCCTGGCCAGCACGAAGCTCGCCTGAGCCGTTCTTAGCGGGGAGGTTCTTGGAGGAATAGTGGTGTTGACCCCCCGGGGGACCAAGAGTTTGGGGTGTTCTCCACAGACAGTCCCTGGCTTAGACTCTGGAGGGCGGGAGACTGGACAGGGCCGTGGACCAGACGGTCAGGGACGCTGCAGGCGCTGAGAAGAGAGATCCGTCGAGAGGGCCCCAGAGGCGGAGCTCAGGCCTGGCAGGGCGGGCACCAGCAGCGTCTCGGCTCCGAGGAGGGGTTGGCGCAGGGTCCCCGCCGTGCCAAGGGCAGCAGGGCAGCAGGCCCGCGGCCCGGGGCAGACCTGCCGCTCACAGCCTGGGCTGCGGGTGGCGGCCGGAGCGGCCGGGCGAGTGGCCCGAGACCCGCAGTGACAGCATCAGGGTGCTGGGAGGCGGCCCCGGCTCTCACGCCTCTGCCCACTGCCCCCGGCCAGGTGCACCTGATGAAGCCGGACGCGGTGCCCAAGGCGTGCTGTGCGCCCACCAAGCTGAGCGCCACCTCCGTGCTCTATTACGACAGCAGCAACAACGTCATCCTGCGCAAGCACCGCAACATGGTGGTCAAGGCCTGCGGCTGCCACTGAGCTGCCCGCTGCCCCCGGGCACCTCCCGGTTAGGGCCCTCCAGTCCTGCCTGCATCCAAGCAGTTGGGAGGGCTGGGCCATCAGAGGCCAACAAGTCCACACACTCTCGCCTTCCTGCAGAGCTTGGTCCTCTCCCTTCCTGCCTGAGGTTCAAGACTGGCTCAGCCCTAGTCCCTGGGGTCAGATCATCAGGCAGGGTTCTCGTCGGAGCAGGTGCTGCCAGCTCTCGGCCTGGGTACAGAAGTCAGTCTGAGGAGCTGACAGAGCTGCATTGCTGGCCCAGGGCGTGGGCAGGTGTGGATCACCTGAGGTGTCTGGAGCCCGAGTGGCCACTTGGATTCTTCACTCCCCATGGAGCAGGCTGCATGTGATCTCCGCTTGCCCAGATGGGCGCTCTGGGTCATCTTTAAACACAGCCTTGACCTCAGTTTTGCATTTGTGGGTCTCAAGTACCAGACTGCTGGCCACAATCGGACATGCAGGTCAACTCAAGACAAAGCTGTAGGCTGAGGCCCCGGCATCCAACCACCCCTTTACCTTCCTGCTTTGATCTGCCCCTCCTTTCTGAGGGAGACAGGTCGCGTGTGGACATTTGGCCTTTGGAGAAGCAGCATCATCTATCCAGCTGTCTGACCAGGAGCTTGGCTCAGATGTAGTTACTTTTTCGTTGGGCCATCAAAGTGGACACTGGGTGACCCGGGATGATGGTGCTCAGGACAGATAACGTAATTCCCTTTCACAGTTACAGGGCAGACATTAACAATCAATCTGGGTATTTTTTCTTCCAAATATGGATAGAACTTCAACATGATCAGCACAGAACTCCAGGAGCCACTGCCAACAGATCAGAGTTGGCCTGTAAAGGAAAACTCCTGCCATGCTAAGCTGCCATCCATTCCTGTCCCCATCCCACCCCTGCTGACAGGCAGTCTGTGGCTGGCACCTGTGTCCAGAAGTTGTCAACCAAGTCTGTCACCCCATGTCCAGGTGCCCTGTCCTGTTTCTTGGAGCCTGTCCGTCAAAGGAAAGGCCCCTGTCCCAAGGGAGTGACAGGCAATAATTAGGGCTGGGTGGGGAGGTTCCCAGAAACCCCCGTTCTTGGAGACACCGCCAGTCAGAGTGTTTATTTGATTTCTGCCTTGCTAAGCCTATAATTTACCTGCTGGAGCAGACAGAGTCCAGATGCCGAACCCTGAAATACCGCGTCACTAAAAGCAGATCCTGGGCCCGCCCCAACCCACAAGCACAGCCTAGGACAACCTCAGCCCGATGCTCGTCTCTGGATTTCTGCTATACAGCCCCAGGAGGCGCACGGGGGCAGGCTGGCCGCAGGCTGGGGCACCGTTGTGGGACAGCAGCCGCCCCCCTGGATCTGGGAGGGGCCCTGGAGCAGCTGCAGAGGAAGAGACCCCCCCCTGCACGAGGCAGGCCGGGCTGTCTGGAGGGGAGTTCTTCATCAGCATAAGGATCTAAACTCTGGCCTAGATGTTGGGAGATCCGACTTGTAAGGTGACTTCTTCCTCTTGAGTCTCATTTTCCCATCTATAACATGAAGGCATTGAACTGTTTGCTCTTCCAAAAGTCTTCAGCCACGGAATCTGTTTCCTTTCCTCACACTGAGCCGAGGCAGCCTCCACCCTGAATTCAGCACAGGTGGCTACCCCAAATCAGAGATGGTACCTTACACAGAAGCTGCTTGCCAGTCTGGTCCTTAATCCCTCAGCTCTCTCTTCTGAACGGCAAAGGTCTTCTAGGCAACTACAAATCAGTCAATTCTACCGTTAACCTTTTTCTACCAGGATCTGTAGCGGTCAGCCAGTGAGCCAGCACTTAGGGTGCAGGAATGGGTGTCAAAGGGCACGACGGTTTGTGGAGATGGACTACACCTGATGGATCAACAAGCTGTGCACAGCGGGGGACAGCCCTCAGTGTGGGGTGCTGTCTGCCTGCCTGTCAGACTTGGGACTTTTACCATCTTCTCACCAGATGAAGTGAAACAGAACAAGCCCTGAGTGGTGCATTGTACCCCACGAAACCCGTCTGCTTAGCTGCGCCCACGTGCCCAGCGGTGTCGCCCTCCCCTGCTCCGGTTTGGGAGGGTAAGTGTGGGGGCCCGGGGACGACCCAGGGCAGCAAGCAGCTGTCAGTGACCACTGACGGGCCACGTGGAAGAGCGCAGGAGACGCAGTGCCTCCGTGCCAAACACCATGCAGGGCTGGCCTCGAGGCCCGTCATTGGCCTGTTGACTCTAAGCTTGGCAAGACGCCAGTGGACTTGACCCCAGCTTGTCATCTTCTGTCGAGGATGCTGGCCTCGTGCTCCTGATGTACAGCGATCAGACATGCACACACTTCGCACAGCAGCTGGTTTGTAAATGCTTCACCGCTGGCCCCAGGGATGTGGTGAACCCACTGCTGACTTGGAGCCTCTTCCGCCCCTGCCCACTAAACGTGTTCCCTGCGCTTTTTCTGTATACCTAGACACCACAATTCCTTGAAGGCAGCTTGATTCTTACCCGAGGCATGTGACTGGTTCCACTGGCGGAAGAGGTGAAACATCCTGTGTCCCCAGTTATGGGGGGTCCTGCTGGCCTGCCAAGGGCACTCGGTCCCCATCAAGTGACTCTTCCAGCAATCTGAATGAAGAATTATCCACCTTGGGCTCCCTACTAATGGGAAGGCCTTATCTAAATTGTATTTTTCATTTATTACAAAAATCAGGCAGTTTTGGAGGAGATTTTTAAAAAACCAAACAGTTCAAATAACCAAAGTCCTATGATTCGAATAAGCACAGTACTAATATTTTAGTGAATTTATTTCTAGGCTTTTTGCTTAGTATATACATATTTACATATATTTTTACAAAATGGGATCATACTGTACTACACCAATTGCTTTGAGATACGCTTTTCTTACTTTATAAGATATGCTTTCCACTTTGTAATATGGCCAAAAATTCCCTGCTAATAAATATTCTTTGAAACCCAGTTCTCTTATTTTCTATCACCTGAACTTTATGAGCCTCTTTTCGTCAGTGGAAAGCAGATCCCTTCCGGGGAGGACCGCTGGGCGGGCGGGAGGACGGGGAGGACGGGGAGGACCGCCGCGTGGGTGCCACGACCGTAGGGAAAGTGCTGTGCCGGCAGCAGCTGGGGGCCAACGTGCTGCCCGCGGGGAGGCTCTAGCAGTCCCGGGCAGACGCCGGGCCCAGGATCAAAGGGCCAGCGTGCAGCGGGGCCGGGAGGGAACGCCCAGGTGGAACCAAACCCCAGGTTCTAAGTCCTGGCGCGGGAGTAACGGGACAACTGCCACCGCGCCGGGGGGGGGGCCACCGTCGCCAACAGCACACGGAGGCGGCTGTGTTCCGCCAAAACCTTATTCACAGAAATAGGCAGCAGGCTGGGTTACGCCCACACGTTTGCTGACCTCCTCTCTCCTGACAAAAAGGACAGAACCTGGCATAGAAGGCATGTCGAGACATAAAACATCACTTAACATGTCAGCAGAGTGGAGCTGGACAGAAAGCACGAGGCACTGAAACTGGCACGGGTTCCTGTGGCCATGAGGCTGGCCAGCATGGAGCAGGGGCAAGGCAGCAGAAGGCAGGCGCTTTCCCACCATCGTTGGTTCCATGGTCCTGACTCGGGCCTCGCAAGCTCCTACCTGGCATCTTAGGGAACCACCCAAGGGAGGAAAGAACGCTGGCAGGAGGCCACTGTGCCCTATGCCTTTACCAGCCCATCTCAGTGGGGCAGCTCAGTCACAGCCGCGATCCCCGAAACCACCCCCCAGGAACCAGCTAGAGGCAGCAGTACAAGAACTAAGATTTATTTACCAGAAGAGTCATCTTCTGGGCCCAGGAGAGGCCCTGGCAGCAAAGGCCTGGAAAAGGCCATCCACACTAGCTGCCTGTGCCCTGGGTGCAGGGCCACGCTTGGGGAAGAGCCCAAGGAAGCCCGGGCTGCACCTGCATGGGGCCGCCCAAGCTGACCCTGAGGAAGGGCTGACAAAGCCCTGCCTGCTGCCAAGAGGACCCACTTGGGGGCTGGCTTCCGGCCTGAATGCTTCTGTACATGGGGCCTTGCAGAGGAAGCCCCGCGTCACATGTATTCCCCGCAGTCCGCAATGAGCACCTTCTGCTTTGGTTTCCCGTCCTTGCTGCCCTGGGCCTGTGCAGGCAGAACAGAGATCAGCTGGGAGGGTGAGGGTGAGAGTGAGGAGAAGCGCAGCATGCCAGCCCCAAGCCCCCACTCCGCCCCAGTGTCTAGAAGCAGCCATGGGTCCTCCAGGCCTCAAGGCACTGTCTCCAGCTCTCCCGTAGGGACCCAGGCGGCCACCCACCTCAATCTGCCGCAAGACATCCAGGCCTTCTGTGACCTCCCCGAACACCACGTGCTTGCCATCCAGCCAATCTGTCTTGTCACATGTCAGGAAGAACTGGGAGCCGTTCGTGTTTGGGCCGGAGTTGGCCATGGAGAGCAGGCCTGGGGCAGAGGACCACATGAGCCGCCTCCATCCTGGCCCTCAGAGGACATCTATGCAGGACAGAGCAGCACAAATGCTGCTCGGAGGTGGCTAAGATGAGGGCCAAGAGGTGGCTCCTAGCACAATGATGGCTGCTGGCATTTTTGATGAGCAGGTTTCTGTGGAAGGCTAGAAGTGTGGCAGGAAGGAACACAGAAAAAAGAGGAGACAGAGGCTGCACAACTTCTTCAAAAAGTCTTAAGTAGAATAGGAGACCAGAAGTAATGACGATGAGAAGCATGAGTGATAGTGGAGGGGGGAATGTAAGTCAAAGGATGATTTTTTTTTTTAAAAAAGATTGACATTGTATGTCTTTCTGCTGATGAACTAACCTGGCAGAGCAGGGAAATGGATCACACAAGGCACTTGTGAGCAATTGCAAAAGCCACATCCCTAAGTAGGGGAGGAGGGGCGGGGGCCGAGCAGAGGGGCAGGCCTGTAGGGAGACAGCTCATCCCGTGTCCTCAAAGGAAGTCAGGGTGTGCATGTGTGGACAGAAGCAGGGGGCCCAGCATAGCTGCGGTGGAGAGTGAGCAGCGGCTTTGGGACTGAAGGAAGGCCCGGCTCGTCTCTCCTACCCGGACTCGGCATTAAGTGTGAGAAGAGTCGAGGAAGGCTGCCGAGGACCGCTGAAGAACTGTAGCTTTCACGCCAACCGCTGAGACAGTTCTGTGTTTTCCCTAGGTGCTGGGGCTCACCCATTGAGATTTGCTGTATGAGGTCAATCTAATGAGAAGGGCTGTGGGACTGCGGCAGTAAGAGCTTACAACGGTGGCCACAGCACCTGGGCTAGAGAGCACGGGCAGTGTGTGTGACCGGGAGCGAGCTCAGTCCACTCTTAGCCAGGCTGACCGCTTCTCCTCTGTTCATCAGCTGGGGCTCCTCCAGCCCCGACTCTTCAACCCACCTTGCACAGCTTCCCACCCTACCTGCCACCACCCACCCACTGGTCCTACCTGGTCCCGTGTGTTTCAGGATGAAATTTTCATCGTCAAACTTCCTCCCGTAGATGGACTTGCCCCCTGTGCCATTGTGGTTGGTGAAATCGCCGCCCTGGCACATGAATTGGGGGATGATGCGGTGGAAGCTGCTACCCTTGAAGCCAAAGCCCTTCTCGTGCGTGCACAGGCAGCGAAAATTCTCTGCAGTTGAGAAAGGAAAAGGGCGCAGGTCAAAAAAACAAGATCTCTAACTAGACTATGAAAACTATGTGGCATCTGTGTAATGTATACAGTTTCATTGTCAACCTTTGTGATACTGACATCCTGAAGGATTACAGGGGAATCCAGTCAAAGGAGGTGGAGTAATAACCTACGACCTAGCCAACTCATGGTAACTATCTAAGGAAGATGAGGGGCAGGGAAGGTGATCTTAAAAGCCTAGCTTTTAAAGTGGGAAGCCGCCGAAAAACCAGAGGCAGCAAGATAAACCTGTTCTACCAATAGGAACATGAAAACCAAAAGAACCAGCTGACAACTGAAGTCGGTGAAGAGCAGGAATGGCAGCGAAGGCGGGCGAGGCAGAGGCGCAGCTCCAGGAGGCTGCTGTTTTTCCACAGCAAGCTTTGTGAAGCTGACTTTTTTATTTATACACATATATAAAAAATTTGGATAAAAAACCGAGAAGTCAATATAACTAGAAGGAATTCTCAATAAAGTTAGTATTAGCGACCATGAGAGAGGAGGCCAAAAGTAGAGATAGGAAGCTTGTGTTTTTAATTTACTGCCTCCAGTATTGTTGGACTACATGCCTGTATTTTATTTTTTTTTACCATGAATACAAATTTACTTGTAATTAATCATCAAGAGCAGGCGTCTGACTCATCAGTTACTAGATCTCAGGATCTGAGGTGTTTCAAATCAACTCAGGTCAGAACCTTGTCAAGGGCACGAGAACCGAGACCTTGGAAACCACAGGGAGGCTCAGTGCTCCGCCACCAGCCCCGCGCTCCTGACCAGAGTCCGGCCCACCTGCCGTCATGGGAACCACGTCTGAACGCAGGAGGATCTGGATGCGGCCAGCCGGCTTGTTCCCAATCTTGATATCCATGTATACCTGAGGGTTTGACCGGGCCTTCTTCACAGTGGGCTCTCCCTGAGCACAGAGGAAACCTCTAGGTTAGAGAATGCCTGCCCCCCAGAATAGGAGAGCTTTGTTGCTGAAACACACCTAAAACCCAGTGAGTAGGCTGGAAGTGATGCTGACAGAGGAGGCAGAAGACAGGAACACGGCACAGTACCAGGCTGGCAGGAGCCCTCTGGCCCCGCCCACAGCCTCCTCACGGCTCCCCTCAGCCTGCAGGCACACAATTGCGCTTTCCTGGCCACAAAATGCAACTGCCAGCATCTCACAACCAGCTGGAGCCCACCCACTAGTGCTGTTAAGTGGCCCCACTTATGCACACCGCTTTTTCTGGTACACTCAGCCCCACACAGCCACGGGCTGGCTCTGTGGGCAGAAAGAGGGCGGGCTCTGGCTTGGACCCACGCACTCAGATGACAATGGAGGATGTCTTGCTTTGTGATCCAAGGAGACAAAGTTAATCAGAGGTCACAGGTTGGCTTTACTGAGTGACAATGTGGAGAGGAGGAAATGAGATTGGCAAGGTGGACAGCGTCAAGAACTTAGCCCCTCTGGACCTAAAGCCATGAAAATTTTGATGGGGAGCCAGGGAAAGTTCTCAGCAGGCGAGTCAGGTGACCAGTCTTTTACTTTACAGAGATCTTCTAATGGCCTTTATGACAGACTGGAGGAGAACAGGGCTGTAGCCAGAGGCCAGTTAGGAGGCTCAAGCGGCAAATGGGAGGAGTGAGTCAAGGTTAACTTCAGAGGAAACAATCAGCAGAAAATGATGGTGTGCTGCTGTTTTAAAGAGGCACTAAGGACAACTGAGGTCATTCTGCTTGCTGTTCTGCTTGGTATCAGAATTTCTGACTAGAGTCAATGTGTGGATGGACGGTGACAAATGAGCAAGCTTGAGAAGAAAGGAAAACAGGATCAGAGAAGGCAGAGCCCATTTGAAGGGACTTTAAGCTGTCTGTGAGACTTGCTGCAGTAACGTCTGGCGCTCAGGACTAGGAGTGTCAATAGCACAGGAGTGGCTGCATGAAACCAGAGTGTGATTTCTATTGCTCCGGCGGAGAGGCGAGAGATGCCAAGAGTCGAGGACATATCTAGAAGGAGTACAGGCTCATGGTCTGAGAAGGGGAGGTCTGAGATGCACACTGACGGTCAGAAGAAAGTGCCAGGTGGCTGTCCTAGGGAGGGAGAACCCACGTGCAGACCCAAGGGAAGGCACTAGCACCCTGCCCTGCCACCCCTGTGACAGGGCTGGGTCCGGGCCCCTGTGAACGTGGTGCCAAACACTTTTAGTTAAAGGGATGGCTGACTGGGGGGGTGGAGAGGGCACTCACTGCTTTTCTTCACTCAGGCTTCCTCCTTGTCAGCAGTAATCACAAATCAGCCTCTGAGCAGAATGCAGAAGCACGTGACTCAGAGCACAAGGAGGAGAGACCAAAAGCTCTTTGAGTCATCCATCCACCTTCACCCAGTACTAAGAGTTCACTTTCCATTCTCTGCTTTTGTATATCTATTCGCAAATTACCAATAAAATGGAGAAATCAAAAGTCTCCTGTGGAAGTACTGCCTGCCTTTGGCTTTACACGCCTTCAGTCTCACCTCCTGGGGTTCTGCTTTGGGAGGCTCTGACCCTTCTTCTTCTTTATTTTCTTCAAGAGTCTTTCCAGAGAACTTCTTCAACCAATCATCATCTGACCAAACTGAAATGGAAGAATTGAACAACTGTTAAGAAATTCAAGCTACCAGCCAAGTGCTAATTAGCTGCTTTGGTCAGCAAAGTAGAACACACTGCGTGTCCTCGCAGCTGGAAGACTGCTGTGGGGACTCCCAAGGGTAAAACATGTTCCCCGAAGTCTGGCTCTCAGCAGGGCTAAATAAAAGGGCCAGGCCAGAGGGAAAGGAGGAGCCCTGAAAGGTCCAACCTGTGACGGAGCACCCCAGGAAGGGAGTGCAAGGTCAGGATGGGATTCTCTCAGAATAGAAACAATTACCCTGGCTCACTGAGAGGCTCAAGCTTTTTATTTCTTCACAAAGATGGAGATGCCCTTCACCAACATGAACTATCCTTTACCGCCCACTAGGAGTGGCATTCGGTGCATGCCTCCAAGTACACAGAATACACATGCAACTAAGGCCAGTAGAGGATGTGATGGGGACTCTGGCTGTGCCGACCCACCTGGTCTGGAGGAGCCTTCCTTAATCCTCATTGGTTTGGCCAAGTTGACACGAATTGTTCGTCCAAAGAGCTCAGATTCATTCTGAAAAGATTAAAAATCCAGCTATTAGGTTAAAAGAGAATCGGACAGCTTATCATTTACTTGTGATACATCTGAAACATGCTCATGATCTGTTATTTAAGCCCTTAACAGCAGACTATGTACTCACCACAAAGCAACCTGTGGGTTGCAGGCAATTTCCTTCCTAGAACCATCACACACCTTCTTTCTTTCTTT